GGCAAGTGCAGTGAAAACGAGATGTTCTCATCTGGCCAGTAGAATCTTTATTTATATACGTTTTGTGGTGTTTATAAATGCAGTGGTATTGTTGCAAACCTGGTGAAACACTTGGCTACAAGGCCCTGCAGCCAAATCTGACTCAGTTGTGAACTGTTTGCTGAATGCTCAGGCACTGCTGGAGGAATAAAGTACAGTGGGTGACATCTGCATCTGAGAGGGGTTTGGCACTTCTGGACAGACCATGCTGGGAGATGTCCAAGGGTGCTGAGCACAGCAGGTTCCTCACCTCAGAGCATTGCAGCAGCCTCTGGCACCTGTGGGTCCTGGACTGGGGTGTGGATGTCACTGGGTGTGACATGTGCAGGTGGACAGGGAAGGCAGAAGTGAAGATTTCTTGCCTTTATTGTCAGTTCTTGGCTTCATTCTTCATTTTCAACCTTCAGTTTATCTGTAGCAAACTTAGCACTTCTCAGCTGTTGGAAGGGAGGATTTCCTGTTTTGTTCTGTTCCTTGACTCACTATCTCTCATACTGGTGGGATGTAGCTGTTCTTTTGCCTTCTGAAAGTGAAAGAGAAGAACCCCAAAGCCAGGTACTGTCTTCTTTGTGGAGCTCCTGCACAGCTCTTCAGCCACAGTTAGTGTTGGTCAAATCCACTTTCCTAAGGAAGCAACAGATTTGAGGCAACTCTGGACAGTTTTCCTACTGCCTACAGAGTTTTGAATAACAGGAATGTAATTAATCAGCATTTTTGATCCTTAAATCCAAAAGCATATTATCTTCCCTAGGAAGAAAGGTTTTGTTACTAATGGGTAAATCCTGGTTAGATATTTGGGTTGTAGTTGCAGCATGTGTTGGCTTGTCTAAACAGCCAGTGTAAAATCCTGCCTGCCTCTAAAAGCCATGGATCTAATCAGTGTGAAGTGTGTAATCACCAGGTACAGAGCAAGACTAGAGCTTTCTAGCTCACCTCTGACTCCAGGAGTGTTAGTCTTTCTTCTTCTCAGTTTAAATATAATTCTGTCTAGTTGCATCTGCAGTTCTCTTCAGAAATGCTACCTGCTGTTTTTTCCCCCCAGTCTATAGAACTATCTCCTGTGTATCCAAGAGTTGCCTGAACTGCAAATAGGCATTTCAGATTCCAAAAACAGGAATATCTTGCTCTGCTTTGCAGTGCTGCCTAGAGGATGAGCTGTGGCTGCTTCTTCAGAAGGGTTTGGTGCCTCCTATTCAAAGCAGTGAGAGTTTGGAAAGTACTGAGCAGCCAACACAGCTTGGTGGAGGCTGCAGAGTGCTTTGAGCCATGGGTGAAGTCTCCAAAGGGCTTGTTAAAACCTATTGATACCCAGCAAAATTGGACCCAAGCTCCTGTTGAAGTCCTCTCATGACCCATGTGGTAGTTGTGTGCTGTGTTTCTATGGCTGTGAGGACAGATTTAACATCTTAGACAGCTGAGATGAGATTGAAGCAGCTCATTTCCAAAGGATTTACCAGAGAAAACATTACTGATTGATTGAGGTGGATTTTTCACACCTCAGTGACCAACCTGGGGCCTTCCCTACATGTGATTAGGGCCTGTCCCTTAAATTCTAGTGAATCTTAAGGCATGTGGCTTTTAGTGTTTGATTATCCTGGGCTGGCTTTGAGCAGAACCATGTGGTGGTCACCATCAGAAGGAGCTCTGTTCTCCCTCACCTCATCCCAGGATGCTATGGAGTGTGGATTTTACTGGTTTTCATCTGTTTTCCCTCCACAGTGACTTTATTTTTGTTGCTCTATTGTGTGGATGTTGTAGTGACACAAAGTGGGAGTGTAATAAACCCTAATTGGCCTTTTCTGGCCTTTTCTGTGTTTGTAGACACTAGAAGGAAGTAGTTGGTGATGAATCCCAGGAATTCCCTGTGTGGGACTTCAGGCACTGTCCTTTGGATGTGCCTTCCTGCCCCAGAAATGCCTTGGCCTTCTTGTAGGGTGATTCTTACACCTATTCCTGCAGAGACCTTCCCTGTGACCCTGAAAGTAAATGCAGTAAACTCTTAACTTTGCTCCATTTTATCTTCCCTGGATTTTTTTGGGGTTAGAAACTGACTTATTTCCAGGCAGAGTCACTGAGCTCTGCTGCAGCATGTTATCCTGTTGGGGGAAAAAATACCTCTGGAAACTACGGGAGAAATAGAACAAAAAGGCAGGTTGAAACTTGTAGTATAAAACATGCTAACCAGCAGCCTTTGATATGCCTTTTCCTTGTGTTTTACAAAAGGGAAAGCTTTTGGAATACTTCAGGCTTTGGTTAGAGCTTCTTCAGCTGCCCATGAGGAGTCTGAACTGAGTGGGGAAGGGGAAAGGCAAAAGCAGAGGCTGCAATAGAAGCAGAAGTGTCACACCACAGCCTTACCTGCCTGTTACAGAAGAGTTTTGGGTCATTATGCAGAGAGGAAGTGTTAAACATAAATAAACTGAGAATGGGGATAAAGGGCATAGCTAGACAAGAGACTTTGGCTGCAGAAAATCAGGGGCTGTTGCCATCAGCCTGTCTGTGGATTGTTCCCTCTTACACTCTCTCCTTACTCCCCAAATCCCTCTATTAGTGTTCACCTTAGCATTTGATGATGGCACAGGCCTGAAACAACTTGGGTTAAAAATCCCAGAAGCTTCTTGGTATTAGATGTGCTCATTGTTTGACCCTGGGTTAGAGGATTGGGCAGTGAAGACACTTTATGTTCTGGAGATACAGAAAAAAATGAAGCAACTGGCAACAATAATTTCCTCCTGTTCTTGGTATTCTGGTGTGATGGGGTTTGTTTTCTCTTTTTACTCATCTTCATTAGGCTCCAGGATCTTGTGGTCTGCTTGGTGCTAGGAAAGGAGTTGCTACCTCTTCAGGTTAAAAGCAAAAAGGATATTCTCAGGGCAAGGCTGGAGTGCAGGAGGTGGGTTAGGTGTTGGAGATGTTGGATCTATGACTCCTCCCAATGTGCTGTTCCTTCCCCAGGTGGTTATCTTACTGGGCTTTGCTGTTCTGTGGTAGGTGAAGGTGTCTAATACAGCTGAAGGCATCACATCAACCCTTGGGGCTGCTTTTCCCTCCAGCTGAAGGTCCTGTCCCTCCACCACACAGCAGTGCTCCCTGGGACAGCTGTCTGCACACACGTTTGGGCCACTGAGCTGCATAAACACCTCAACTTCTGGCTGGTTCTGCTGCAATGATTTAGGGTTTGGTGGCTTAAGACAACCTGTTTGTGTCCAACTAGCCCTGCTGATCAGAAAAGCTGAGGTCACCTCAGCTGCACCCGTAACCACATCTGTACCTGCTCCACCACCTGAGCCTGAGCTGTTGCAGGGCTGTGGTTGAGTTGTTACTCTTTCTTTGGTTGAAATGAAGCAAAATGTTTCATTTTTTTCCAAATAAAATCAGGGCAGAGCTGGAAGTTGAGATGAATTTTAACCCCTGACTATGCCCAGGATGTGTCTTCTGTTCCAAGAGCATAAAGTGTTTTGGGGCATATTAATTCAGCTATTCCCTGCTGACTCTTTGGAAATAATTTATGCAGGTTTGAGTCAGATTTTGATTGAATTCTTTTCATTAGGTATTAATTTAGTTGGAGATGTCTCAGAATGATTCTTCTTCAATTTCTATTAGCCTTAGCTTGCCAGACTGTTCCTTTATCCAAAAATTTGGTCAAGTGGAGTCTTGAACTCCACAAACTATAATTTTCCAGCCTGAAGAGTGGTGGCTATGAATTGCTGCTAGAAAACATGACTCTAGTAGGCTTAGAGATTTAATTTGGAGTTGATTAACTATATTACAACCCTCTTTAATCTTGTGGAAGCTTAAATCTTCCCTTTGGAGTATAATCCATAAAGCACTTTTTTTTTTCTTGTGTGCAATTTGAAAGTAGATTTTTCATTTTAAAACATACTTGGTTTCTCGGGGATGATACTAAACTACTGTTCAAGAACCAGCAGCATTAGTTCATATCAAACTTTGAGATGTTCTAATTGTGCCAGCCCAGAACTGTCACAGAGATTGTGAATTTGTAGGTGATAGGAGAAGCTTTGAGTAGAGATATTAGTGACTAGTTCTGTGCTGACACTTCCTGTGTACCAGAGCTATGAAAGCTGATTCCAAGCTGTCTAGTCTTGGGGAAAAAAAAGTCTTTTGCTCAACAGCCTTTAGAGGACAAACAAATGAAGTTTTGCTGTGGTTTCACAGGTTCAAGGAGAGGTTACTTGGGCCTTTGCTGCATTTGCTTCCAACGAGTTCAGTAGTGTATTGAAATATGGTGTCAGCAACTTTGTATAAGTAAGTAAGAGCAGGTTCAGGAGAGATAAAGTCTTGCTGTGATACAGCAATTGTAACACACAGCTCAGAGTGGAACAGAAATGTACAAGTCCAAAGCATTTCAACTGTGGTAGGTAGAAAAGTAACCAAAGTGCCTTTGAACTGTCCCTCACTGACTCATTAAAACACACTCTCTGTGTTCAGAAGCACTTGGTGGTTATCTAGGAAAACACACCCTCTATGTTCAGAAGCACTTGGTGGTTATCTAGCCCTAATTTTTCATTATTTAGGAGACAATACTTCTCTTCTGAAAGCCTAACTGTTGTCTCTCTTTGCCAGGTGCTGGAATTCTCTGTGGCACTGAACTTGTCCTTGAGTGCATTTCACCCAATGCAGCTGTTTGAAATGTTTGTACGACAGAACTAAGTGCAACTGACTGTATCTGCAGACTTGAAAAATCTGAACAAACAGTTCAAACAAAACCTCATTCCTTCACTGGGAGGACGTACAGATCCTCTTGCAGTGATGTGTGGAAGCACAGAAAGCTGAAACTGCTTGTGGAAAAGCTCCTGTTCCTGGCAGAGGTTTTGTAGCTCAGCAGACTTTGAAGCACATGTGGGAGAACTCTACAAGTGTCCTTATTGCCATCAGTGAGCATCCCCAAAGAGCTGAAACCTTGCATTGAGACATGTAAGAGGGAGCAGAAGGAAGGAAAGATGCCAACTCAGCCCCTCCTGGCATACATGGACGGCCTGGATGGAATCGCCAGCACCGTCGGAGCACAGATGGAGAGCAACGACGCCTCGATGACAATAAAAGGGACAAACACCATTTCCTACAAGAGCTTGCAGGAGAAGTTCCTCATGCAGGCTGAGGGCTGCATGCCCCTGGACTGCATGTTCTGTGATGAGACCTTCAAACACCCCGAAGAGCTGGGGAAGCATGTCCTAACCCAGCACAGGCCCACGCTGTGTGAACCTGCTGTGCTGCGTGTGGAAGCAGAGTATCTCAGCCCCCTGGATAAATGTCAGCTCAGAAGTTCACCAAACAATGACAAGGACAGTGAAGAACTTAGCTGTAAAGTTTGTGGACAGACGTTTGATAAAGCTTTTGACATCGAGGCGCACATGAAAAAGCATAAAGATTCCTTCACGTATTGGTGTAACGTCTGTGGGAGGAGATTCAAAGAGCCATGGTTCCTGAAAAATCACATGAGGACACACACTGGAAAGCCTGGGTCTAGGAACAAGCACCAACAAGGGGCTGAAGGGCCCATAACAATAAATGAGGTGGTGCAGGAGCACGTAACTGAAAACGTAACGTCACCTTACAAAATCTGTATGGTTTGTGGTTTCCTATTTCACAATAAAGAGACTCTAATTGAGCACAGCAAAGTGCACACCAAAGAATCAGTCCCCAACGGTGAAAGCCCCCAAGTGACTGCTGAAGAAGATGCAGAAGAAACATCTCAAAGCCAGGAGTATTTCCAGTTCTTGAACTTGAGTCCAAATCCGGTTCCAGAAAAGGAGAAATCACAGAAAGCTGCGAAATGGATCTCTGAGCTGGATCCTTTTACCACATACCAAGCATGGCAGCTGGCTACCAAAGGGAAAATTGCAGTTGGCCACGGCCAAGTTAAAGAACCAGGGCAAGAAGGAAGTACAGACAACGATGAGTCATCTTCTGATAAAGAAGAACTCTGTGAAATTTGGAATGCAAATAAAGGTAGCCAGGCTGAAACTACAGGGAAGTCAAAGGTAAATAAAAACAGCAGTTACCCAGGGAATGGGAACTTAACCCAAGAGAAATTGAAACATCCAGGTGGTGAAGTGCCTTCTATGGAGATGGATTCTAAATCATCCCAGAACAAAGAGAAACCAACACACTGCTCGGAGTGTGGCAAAGCCTTCAGAACATACCACCAGCTCGTCCTTCACTCCAGAGTGCACAAGAGGGACAGACGGACTGAGGGAGAGACCTCAGCTGCCTCCAGGACGTTCTGTGCTGATATCATTGCAAACCTGGAGGAGAACGGGGCAGGAGAACGGATGGAAGGAGGCTCTGAAGATGGATCTGAGGATGGGCTTCCAGAGACAATTAATTTGGGTGAGTAGCACTGAGCACTTGCCTTTGAAGTGGCTGTGAGTGGATTGTTTAGGTGCCTTAGAGCCTCAGAACGCATCGTGCTGTTCCCAGTTATCTTGTCAAAGCTTGATAGGAGATGTTATGGTGGGAGAAAGGGAAACATAAGGGAAAGAAAGGTTTGCACACTGCCATTTCGAGATCTTTCAACTTGTGTTGAGCCTTCTTGCAGTTACTTGGGTTACTGGAATGATTCAAGTACTTTTGGTAACAATCACTCTAGCAAATGTCACTGTTTACTCAGCCCTTATCTCTCTGCCTTTCCTGGATGTTTTGTACTGTTGCATATCCCTTGTCCAGCACATTTTTACCAGTAGTATTTCTAAAGAAATCATTGCAGTTCCACATTTTCCCCCCTTCATCTTGTAAGGGCAGAAAATATTCAGTGCTTGATACCAGCAGTTGTTAAGACCTTGCAAAGTAACTTCTTTCATCAAACCACAAGTTCTGTGTTTCTTTTGAACAATAAGTAACCTGAAAGTGTAAATATGAGGACCAGAAAGGTTAAATCAGTTGTGCAAGGACAGGTTTGCAGGCCCTTAGTATGTGGGCATGTGTGTAAGGGAGGTGGACATTCAACTCTTCCTTGATGTGTTGCTGACACAGTGGTTGGGCTCCATGTTGGCTACCCAGGATTAATTCTGCATGTCAAAGAAAAGCAAATGATACTGATTCCTTAGCTGAGAAAGGTTGCATGTCTGGGGCCCAAAAGGAATAGCCAAAAGCCTTCAGCTGATCTCACATCCTTGTATGTGACATGCTCTGGTCTGCAGTCAGAGAACAGACACTTGGCATCTTCTCAGGGAGAGACACGACGTACAGAATGTCCTGGCACACTCACAGTCCTCCCTTGGCCATTTCTGGTAATGTGCAGCCCTTTATTTTGCTTCCAGGAACAAAGGAATGAAATTATTACCTAATGTTAACTTGCTTGTTTTGTTCTGTCTTACCCTAAACTGCAGCAGATTTGGTGTGAGGTGCTGACTCACACCCGATGAGACATGATCTGTTTGTTTAACACAGCTCTGCTTGTCTTAGAGTTGAGCCATAGTATTTCCACTAGAGCTTTCCAACACCTAGGAACTTCAAAGAACTTTTTTAAGCTCTACCTTGTGTAGATGTATCCAACATCTTAGTCAAGCCGAAGGTTTCCTCTATTTCCAGTCAGCTTTGACTTGGGTGTTGTGTTGTGCTGAGCTGAGTTGTGGGAGCTCTCTCCATTCTGCTGTGCCTGCCGCCCTCCTGTGGTACCTGCTGCCTCTGCTGTACTGGAGAGAAACCAGTTTGTCAGCTCCGGATTTGTTCCTTCACTACACGTGTCACCCCTGGAGCCACTCCTGCCACTTCCCTCTCTGTCTTTGTCCCAACTGGAGTGTTAGTGATGGATTAGTCATCAAACCTAAGGATGTTGTTGTACACACACTTCATGGATCAGCACAGAGATAACATTACTCTTCAAATAATGCTGCTAAACCAAGGTTATTATTAGAATCAATAATATTCCTTCAGGAGATCATCCTTGCCTCCTTCCCCACGTCCCTGTGTTTGCCCATCCACACAGATCATCACACTCACACTAATTCAAGCACTCCCTGGATTAAAATGATGCAGTTGATAAGCTGTGTGAGGTTTGGGGCAAGTTCCTGTAGGTCAGTAACGGTAACCTTTTCTTCTCTGAGCCCTAGTTTTGCATCTTGTTTGTTCCTTCCTGACTCTCACTAATCACAGTGTCCTAGGAACAGCCAGAGCCTGTGGAACTCTCCTGCTCTGATTGCTCAGTGTGTAGCAGGACAGGGCAGAAGATACTCCTGACCCTCAGTTGCTGACAGAATGTCATCACTCTGTGTTTTCCCTTCAAAAAAGACACTTAAAATAGTGATTTCAATGAAACTCTCAAATTTGCCTTTGCTCTCAGTAATATATCTTTGTTTTCTCCCCAAGATAAAAATGAAGATAGCTTGGAAAGGACAAAAGTGAAAACCCTTGGGGCCTCCAGAGAGTGCAGCTACTGTGGGAAGTATTTTCGCTCCAATTATTACCTCAACATTCATCTCAGAACTCATACAGGTAATGGGGGTTTCACCTTTGTGGGAGGGGAAGGAGCTCTGTGCAATCTACTTGTTTGGCTTGGGTGATGAAAAACAAGTTCCCTTCCAAATCAGTGATATTAAACACAAAGTTTTCTCTAATGCTGAAATATTCAATTAAAAATTATCTAATTAACATTAAATTATATTCAAATAACGCCCATTAATTTCTGGGACTGCATTATTTACACAAGCAAATACGTTTTTAATAGGGATAATGACAGTAAGTATTGTTAAACCCAATATATTTTTAAACTTTTTCTATTTTTTCCTGCTTTTAGCAGTGTAGCAGAAAGCTTTGGGTTTGATTTTAATTAAAAAAGAGCCTATTTGCCAAGTCTTAACTTTATTAAATTGATTATTTGCTACCTGCTCCTACCTGGGAAAAAGCTGAGTCTGTTTTGCAGTTCAACTTGTTTTCCATAGCCAGAGAAACATCTTACTTCTCTACATCCCTGTTTTTTGCTGAAACAACTCTGTGTATAGCTGAGCTGTCCCCTTTGTGTTGTGAATCAGACCTGGTGGTGAGCAAGGCCTACAAGTTGCTGGGGTTGATCCACAGTTATATTTGTTGCTTATCTCTGCCAAACATGTTGTCAGTTCCTGTCTCTGTAACAGGGAAACATCTCCAGTGCAGCCAGAAGGTGTCACTGTAGTTAGCTAAAGGAGTAAGATACAGTTGTTAAAATTATTTAGATGAGTTTGGGACTTAGTGGCAGGGGCAACAAAAAAAAAAATCAATGTTGCTATTTAAGAGTGTGTTATTCCATGGTGTTTAATAATCTTCAAAACTGCATCAAACTCATTTGCTGCTCCAACTGTGTTTCAGGTGAAAAACCATACAAATGTGAATTCTGTGAGTATGCAGCAGCACAGAAAACTTCCCTGAGGTATCACTTGGACAGGCATCACAAGGACAGGCATGCTGAGAGCACAGCTGACGTGAAGGGTGACGGCAAAGCGTCGCTGCGCGGTCAGGAGTCGGCGCTGGCGGCCGAGGGAGCTCCAGAAACCAAAAACTTGAAGAGGCTTTTCGATGGTGCCAAAGATTCTGAGAGCTGCCCACCTGCCAAGCAGCAAAAGGAGGTGCTGTCCTTGAGCAATGCAATGGGCAGCACGGTCCTGTTAAAAATGAAACCCAGTTCTAGGGAGTCGAACAAAGGTTCTGTTTGTGTCAGTTCCAATCAGACACCTGAGAACGTGCTCACTCCTTACCCGGAAAAACTGAAGGCTGAGAGGGAAACCAAGGAAGCTCAGCCTAATATTCCTCATAAAAGAGAGAGAAAGGCTTCCGTGGCATCAGACGAAGATGATGTCCAGTATATTTGTGCTATTATCGGTGGGAAAAATGTGAACGACCTGCAAGAGTGTGCTGAGAGCTACAAACACAGACCTGCTGTGGACTGTTGTGAGCAGCCCTTGGACTTGTCCAGTAAGAGCTCCCAGGAGTGCACAGTGATTGCCACCAGAGGACTCCTGGCACCCAGCACCTGTTCCTTCTGTAACTACAGGACGTTTTACCCCGAGGTCCTGCTGATGCACCAGAGGCTGATGCACAAGTACAATCCCGACACGGTGAACAGGAACGGCTACAGGCACAAGGCTGTGCCCAGGGCTCGGCGCACGGGCTGCCCCCCGGCCCTGCTGGGCAAGGACGTGCCTCCCTTGCTTCTGAATGCCAACAAGAGCAAGGCTTCCCCATCTCTGCAGCAAAAACCACTGCAAGCAGGGAAAGCTAAGCAGTGTCACCCTCCGCAGGGCAGAGCCCCTCCCTTCGCAGGGCCCGAGTCGAGCGGCACAGCCCCGAGTAACCTCAAGTTTCATAAACAGCAAAGTAATGTTGGAGCTCAGGCAAATAACTACAGACAACCTCAGCAAGAAGTGCACTCCAATTCCAGTGTCCCTCCAGTACTGGACAGAGTAAAAAGAATCGACTCTAAAATGAAAGCTGTGGGTACCCCAGTGACTCAGTCTGGTCTCGTCAGCAGCAGCACAAATGGGGTTCTGGACTCTCCCCTCAGTGACCCTGCCTGGCCTTGCCATCGAGGAAGAGACTATCTCTGTAGTAAATCTGTCAGCAATGCAAACGTAGACTATGGAGAAACCTCCTCCAAACGACTGAAACCCTCTCTGCTAGCTGGGGACCACGTGGACTCTCCAGTGGCTAATTACAGGAGATACGAAATGAGCAGATTTCGTGTTGCAAACAGATATGCAAATCTGCTACCTCAGGAATACTCTCACACCAAACCTGCACCCTCTGTCTTGCCAACCAAACAAGGGCTCCTCACCTCAGATGATGATCCTTCCAACGTATTGACTGTTCTCAAACCCTATGAGCCATATAGCTCTGGGTCACTTTATGGTTCTTGTGGTCCTAGCAATGGCCAAGTCACCAGCTCTACAGGAGAAGGTACAGTGCTCCTTCCTTCCTCCTTGTCTTACACCCTTACAGGGGAAGGGTAATGGAACAGAAATGTGTGCACACCTTGAAACAGAGAAATAAAGCTGTACCGAGCATGTCACCACGTCCAGTCAGTATGTGGAGGTTAAATTTAAACCCCACGTTCAGCAAACTCCTGGCTTGGGGAATTAAGCATGGAAGGTCTCAATTTTAAAGAGGGATTTCAAGTTTCTCAAGTTCCCTCCTCCCCCTGCCATGGGGCTCTGGTAGCAAACATGTATTGTTTGCTCATCAGAGCACTCCAGCCATGTTAGCTAATCCAGGATATGGAATGAGCCTTTCTGCTTAACATACCACAAGTCTTGAACCATCTGGAATATTAATAAAACTTCTTAAAAAAAAAGGGCAAAGCTGTCATGGACAATTGTGCCCTTCAATAGCAGAAAAGGATGTATTGCAGATCTTAAAACTATGATTTCAGTCTCAGACTTCTGTTCTTCAATGGGTTTTATAATGTTTAGTAGGAACAGAATAGTTTGTTCAATCCAGACAACAGATTTCTGCTCTTCTAATTATGGTGTAATAATGCTCTGTGGAAGGTTCTGGCCCTAGCAGAGATAAATGATTTGGGATGTGTTGGGAAAATGTTGGTACTTTTATGCAATACATGCTGCTTGTGTTTTGTCCTTGGTCAGCATTTTCAAACCTTAGCAGGAGGCCAAGATTAGAAGGTGTTGGGTGATAGTTAAGCAGTGTCTGACTATTTCTAGAAGATGGTATTTGACTCTGAGCTGAGGTCAGCATGGACTGTAGAAGATGGTATTTATGACTCTGAGCTGAGGTCAGCATGGACTCGGCTACAAATCCAGGACTTTGCATTTTGAAAGGAAGATCCTATTATAAAAATGAATAGTGTGTGTATGCTGGGAAGTCTTAAAGTCTGTAAAGTTCCTGAACTCTGAATACTCCCATTCTCTGGAAGCAGTGTAAAGTTGTCCTGCTCGGAGCAATCTGGGGTTGTAATAGGCAGGAGTGTGTGACCTTAGGGCAGAGCAAACTACAAGGGACTAAATCTGCATTAGTTGTGGGGCAAAAAATGGATTTTTTTGACTCCTCTGGGTTTTGTTTGCTTGTTTTGAGGTTGTGGACTTCAAAAATATATGTGTATATAAATAATCAGGCTTGCCTAGTGGGATGTGGAGGGGTGAGGGAAGGTGTCACAGTTGTGTTTCCAGGCTGGGTAGGGAGTGGATAAGGAAAAGCAGCACATCTGACTCACTGAAGAGTGGTGGAGTGGAGTTTATTGCTGGTTCCATACTGAGGAGTATTGTGTGTGTACCATGAGCGGTAGCAGGAGTTGCAGTTAGCAGAGTGAGGTGGGCACTGGGTCATGCACAGGGTGCAGAGGGGTGGACAGGGGAGTATTGTTACCATGAGCGGTAGCAGGAGTTGCAGTTAGCAGAGTGAGGTGGGCACTGGGTCATGCACAGGGTGCAGAGGGGTGGACAGGACAGGAGGTGTTGCTGTCTCTTGGTCCCTGGTGATCTGAGAGGGTGAAATACCAACAGGATTTGTCTGAGCACTGAAGTTGTTCATGGCAGTTGTGGAGTTAAAAAAAAAAAAGTCTTGCAAAGCACTGTGAATTGTTTAATTACTGGTTGACAGCAGCAAAGCACTTCATAGAATCATAGAATTTTAGGGCTTGGAATGGAGCTTAGAGCTCATCCAACCCCAACCCAACACCTCCCACCAGAGCAGGGTGCTCAAGGCTCATCCAACCTTTGAACACTGCCAGGGTTGGGGCAGCCACAGCCTCCCTGGGCAACCTGGGCCAGTGTCTCACCACCCTCACACACTTGTGTGATCTCAACATGTAGTGAGGTCATGGCTGATAATCAGGACTTGCTTCATGGCACTGCTGTGTGTTGATCTGATAGAACACTCAGGACTTTGAGGGAATGCTCCTGATGTATAAAACCTGATTCATTTTCATGAGAACAGGAAGGGGAAGGTTGAAGTCTTGGAGTTGTAACCAGGTAGAGGAGTGCTCTGTACCCCAAGGCCATGTTGGTGTCCGTAGGGACAGGAGTTGCTGGGGATGTGCCTGGGTCATCCT